TAGGGGATCATGTCCGTCTATACAATTGTTGACAGATAGGTAGTGAATCACGGTAAAAGATCTAGATAGAGGACCATGTCCATCTATACAAGTGTTGACAGATAGGTAGTGAATCACGGTAAAAGATCTAGATAGAGGACCATGTCCATCTATACAAGTGTTGACAGATAGGTAGTGAATCACGGTAAAAGATCTAGATAGAGGACCATGTCCATCTATACAAGTGTTGACAGATAGGTAGTGAATCACGGTAAAAGATCTAGATAGAGGACCATGTCCATCTATACAAGTGTTGACAGATAGGTAGTGAATCACGGTAAAAAGATCTAGATAGGGGATCATGTCCGCTTCTATGCAAGTGTTGACAGATAGGTAGTGAATCACGGTAAAAGATCTAGATAGAGGACCATGTCCATCTATACAAGTGTTGACAGATAGGTAGTCAATCACGGTAAAGATCTAGATAGAGGACCATGTCCATCTATACAAGTGTTGACAGATAGGTAGTGAATCACGGTAAAAGATCTAGATAGAGGACCATGTCCATCTATACAAGTGTTGACAGATAGGTAGTGAATCATGGTAAAAGATCTAGATAGAGGACCATGTGCATCTATGCAAGTGTTGACAGATAGGTAGTGAACCACGGTAAAAGATCTAGATAGAGGACCATGTCCATCTATACAAGTGTTGACAGATAGGTAGTGAATCACGGTAAAAGATCTAGATACATGATCATGTCCATCTATACAAGTGTTGACAGATAGGTAGTGAATCACGGTAAAAGATCTAGATAGAGGACCATGTCCATCTATACAAGTGTTGACAGATAGGTAGTGAATCACGGTAAAAGATCTAGATAGAGGACCATGTCCATCTATACAATTGTTGACAGATAGGTAGTGAATCACGGTAAAAGATCTAGATAGAGGACCATGTCCGTCTATGCAAGTGTTGACAGATAGGTAGTGAATCACGGTAAAAGATCTAGATAGAGGACCATGTCCATCTATACAAGTGTTGACAGATAGGTAGTGAATCATGGTAAAAGATCTAGATAGAGGACCATGTGCATCTATGCAAGTGTTGACAGATAGGTAGTGAACCACGGTAAAAGATCTAGATAGAGGACCATGTCCATCTATACAAGTGTTGACAGATAGGTAGTGAATCACGGTAAAAGATCTAGATAGATGATCATGTCCATCTATACAAGTGTTGACAGATAGGTAGTGAATCACGGTAAAAGATCTAGATAGAGGACCATGTCCATCTATACAAGTGTTGACAGATAGGTAGTGAATCACGGTAAAAGATCTAGATAGAGGACCATGTCCATCTATACAATTGTTGACAGATAGGTAGTGAATCACGGTAAAAGATCTAGATAGAGGACCATGTCCGTCTATGCAAGTGTTGACAGATAGGTAGTGAATCACGGTAAAAGATCTAGATAGGGCATCACGTCCGTCTATGCAAGTGTTGACAGATAGGTAGTGAATCACGGTAAAAGATCTAGATAGGGGATCATGTCCGTCTATGCAAGTGTTGACAGATAGGTAGTGAATCACGGTAAAAGATCTAGATAGAGGACCATGTGCATCTATGCAAGTGTTGACAGATAGGTAGTGAACCACGGTAAAAGATCTAGATAGAGGACCATGTCCATCTATACAAGTGTTGACAGATAGGTAGTGAATCACGGTAAAAGATCTAGATAGAGGACCATGTCCATCTATACAAGTGTTGACAGATAGGTAGTGAATCACGGTAAAAGATCTAGATAGAGGACCATGTCCATCTATATAAGTAAGTGTTGACAGATAGGTAGTGAATCACGGTAAAAGATCTAGATAGAGGACCATGTCCATCTATACAAGTGTTGACAGATAGGTAGTCAATCACGGTAAAAGATCTAGATAGAGGACCATGTCCATCTATACAAGTGTTGACAGATAGGTAGTGAATCACGGTAAAAGATCTAGATAGAGGACCATGTCCATCTATACAAGTGTTGACAGATAGGTAGTGAATCATGGTAAAAGATCTAGATAGAGGACCATGTCCATCTATGCAAGTGTTGACAGATAGGTAGTGAACCACGGTAAAAGATCTAGATAGAGGACCATGTCCATCTATACAAGTGTTGACAGATAGGTAGTGAATGACGGTAAAAGATCTAGATAGATGATCATGTCCATCTATACAAGTGTTGACAGATAGGTAGTGAATCACGGTAAAAGATCTAGATAGAGGACCATGTCCATCTATACAAGTGTTGACAGATAGGTAGTGAATCATGGTAAAAGATCTAGATAGAGGACCATGTCCATCTATACAAGTGTTGACAGATAGGTAGTGAATCGTGGTAAAAGATCTAGATAGAGGACCATGTCCGTCTATGCAAGTGTTGACAGATAGGTAGTGAATCACGGTAAAAGATCTAGATAGGGCATCCGTCCGTCTATGCAAGTGTTGACAGATAGGTAGTGAATCACGGTAAAAGATCTAGATAGAGGACCATGTCCATCTATATAAGTGTTGACAGATAGGTAGTGAATCACGGTAAAGATCTAGATAGAGGACCATGTCCATCTATACAAGTGTTGACAGATAGGTAGTGAATCACGGTAAAAGATCTAGATAGAGGACCATGTCCATCTATACAAGTGTTGACAGATAGGTAGTGAATCACGGTAAAAGATCTAGATAGAAGGACCATGTCCATCTATACAAGTGTTGACAGATAGGTAGTGAATCACGGTAAAAGATCTAGATAGAGGACCATGTCCATCTATACAAGTGTTGACAGATAGGTAGTGAATCACGGTAAAAGATCTAGATAGAAGACCATGTCCATCTATACAAGTGTTGACAGATTGGTAGTGAATCACGGTAAAGATCTAGATAGAGGACCATGTCCATCTATACAAGTGTTGACAGATAGGTAGTGAATCACGGTAAAAGATCTAGATAGAGGACCATGTCCATCTATACAATTGTTGACAGATAGGTAGTGAATCATGGTAAAAGATCTAGATAGAGGACCATGTCCATCTATACAAGTGTTGACAGATAGGTAGTGAATCACGGTAAAAGATCTAGATAGAGGACCATGTCCATCTATACAAGTGTTGACAGATAGGTAGTGAATCACGGTAAAAGATCTAGATAGAGGACCATGTCCATCTATACAAGTGTTGACAGATAGGTAGTGAATCACGGTAAAGATCTAGATAGAGGACCATGTGCATCTATGCAAGTGTTGACAGATAGGTAGTGAATCAATTAAAAAGATCTAGATAGGGGATCATGTCCGTCTATGCAAGTGTTGACAGATAGGTAGTGAATCACGGTAAAAGATCTAGATAGAGGACCATGTGCATCTATGCAAGTGTTGACAGATAGGTAGTGAACCACGGTAAAAGATCTAGATAGAGGACCATGTCCATCTATACAAGTGTTGACAGATAGGTAGTGAATCACGGTAAAAGATCTAGATAGAGGGACCATGTCCATCTATACAAGTGTTGACAGATAGGTAGTGAATCACGGTAAAAGATCTAGATAGAGGACCATGTCCATCTATACAAGTGTTGACAGATAGGTAGTGAATCACGGTAAAAGATCTAGATAGGGGATCATGTCCGTCTATACAATTGTTGACAGATAGGTAGTGAATCACGGTAAAAGATCTAGATAGAGGACCATGTCCATCTATACAAGTGTTGACAGATAGGTAGTGAATCACGGTAAAGATCTAGATAGAGGACCATGTCCATCTATACAAGTGTTGACAGATAGGTAGTGAATCACGGTAAAAGATCTAGATAGGGGATCATGTCCATCTATACAAGTGTTGACAGATAGGTAGTGAATCACGGTAAAAGATCTAGATAGAGGACCATGTCCATCTATACAAGTGTTGACAGATAGGTAGTGAATCACGGTAAAGATCTAGATAGAGGACCATGTCCATCTATACAAGTGTTGACAGATAGGTAGTGAATCACGGTAAAAGATCTAGATAGAGGACCATGTCCATCTATACAAGTGTTGACAGATAGGTAGTGAATCACGGTAAAGATCTAGATAGAGGACCATGTCCATCTATACAAGTGTTGACAGATAGGTAGTGAATCACGGTAAAAAGATCTAGATAGAGGACCATGTCCATCTATACAAGTGTTGACAGATAGGTAGTGAATCACGGTAAAAGATCTAGATAGAGGACCATGTCCATCTATACAAGTGTTGACAGATAGGTAGTGAATCACGGTAAAAGATCTAGATAGAGGACCATGTCCATCTATACAAGTGTTGACAGATGGGTAGTGAATCACGGTAAAAGATCTAGATAGGGGATCATGTCCGTCTATGCAGAGTGTTGACAGATAGGTAGTGAATCACGGTAAAAGATCTAGATAGAGGACCATGTGCATCTATGCAAGTGTTGACAGATAGGTAGTGAATCACGGTAAAAGATCTAGATAGAGGACCATGTCCATCTATACAAGTGTTGACAGATAGGTAGTGAATCACGGTAAAAAGATCTAGATAGAGGACCATGTCCGTCTATACAAGAATGTTGACAGATAGGTAGTGAATCACGGTAAAAGATCTAGATAGAGGACCATGTCCATCTATACAAGTGTTGACAGATAGGTAGTGAATCACGGTAAAAGATCTAGATAGAGGACCATGTCCATCTATACAAGTGTTGGCGGATAGGTAGTGAATCACGGTAAAAGATCTAGATAGAGGACCATGTCCATCTATACAAGTGTTGACAGATAGGTAGTGAATCACGGTAAAAGATCTAGATAGAGGACCATGTCCATCTATATAAGTGTTGACAGATAGGTAGTGAATCACGGTAAAAGATCTAGATAGGGGATCATGTCCGTCTATGCAAGTGTTGACAGATAGGTAGTGAATCACGGTAAAAGATCTAGATAGGGGATCATGTCCGTCTATACAAGTGTTAGCGGGTCGCCCACCTCTCATTGTACAGCCAGGCCAGGAACTGGGTGGAGTTCCAGTAGACATCGGGAGCCTCCCAGTCTCCGTCCGACCAGATGACGTCCGGCTGGTACGTGTTGATCAGCTCGTACAGCTCCGGCATGGTCTTGTCCTGAAACATTCACGCACTGTAGCTCCTACTGTCAACATTTACTGTTTAACACTGCACTCAGCAATATTACAGGTATTTCACAATAGTTTGTACACAATCAACTCCAGACCAGACAATCCACCAATCAGCAATATTACAGGTATTTCACAATAGTTTGTACACAATCAACTCAAGACCAGGCCATCCACCAATCAGCAATATTACAGGTATTTCACAATAGTTTGTACACAATCAACTCCAGACCAGGCCATCCACCAATCAGCAATATTACAGGTATTTCACAATAGTTGGTACACAATCAACTCCAGACCAGGCCATCCACCAATCAGCAATATTACAGGTATTTCACAATAGTTTGTACACAATCAACTCCAGACCAGACAATCCACCAATCAGCAATATTACAGGTATTTCACAATAGTTTGTACACAATCAACTCCAGACCAGGCCATCCACCAATCAGCAATATTACAGGTATTTCACAATAGTTTGTACACAATCAACTCCAGACCAGACAATCCACCAATCAGCAATATTACAGGTATTTCACAATAGTTTGTACACAATCAACTCCAGACCAGACAATCCACCAATCAGCAATATTACAGGTATTTCACAATAGTTTGTACACAATCAACTCCAGACCAGGCCATCCACCAAATCAGCCATCTGACCATATGATCCTGTTAGTCACATATTGTGACAAGCGTGGGTTACTGAACAGCTTATTGGAATATGAAAGTCATAATCAATCATATTTTAACAAACCTATTGGCCATTATTGAGTTGTACTTACAAACAACATTATTGTGTCATGGACTCACATGGTACAATCTGTACTTTACTGACAACTGTAATCCCAGATATAAAACATGTTGCATTATTGAGTTGTACTTACAAACAACATTATTGTGTCATGGACTCACATGATACAATCTGTACTTTACTGACAACTGTAATCCCAGATATAAAACATGTTGCATTATTGAGTTGTACTTACAAACAACATTATTGTGTCATGGACTCACATGGTACAAATTCTGTACTTTACTGACAACTGTGATCCCAGATATAAAACATGTTGCATTATTGAGTTGTACTTACAAACATCCTTTGACTGTTTACTGATTGTCTGATGTTAAGTTTCCATTTAATTGTTGAGATGAGATGTGTTGGTTTCAAATATATCAAAGTTGTATGATGTTACAAATTGTTACAGTTAGTAGAGTAACACATTATTGTAAGATTTCAATAATACCAATAATAATAATGCTTGACAACGACACAAGAATCTGTATCGAAACGTCACATCACCTCAATAAAGAAGTTGTTCATCCTTAAAATTTGTCCTTATCAGATTCACCAACTTCTAAAAATGCCACTCAAAGATGTCACCTGATATACTCAATTCAGGGAATTTACAGAACATAACATTGCTGCCTTGCACTTGTGGTGGAAAATATTACCTGGGTGCATGGTGACAGCAGACATTCCCAGCACTAGCAATATTTCACCACACTGAATGAAGTATATGCACAATTAAGTTGGACACTGATGATTGGGCAACAGTTGGTAAAGGGAAATAACTCTTTCAGCACTATGAGGACTGACTGACTGAGTTTGGTTTTACGCCACTTTTAGCAACATTCCAGCAACATCACGGCGGGGGACACCAGAAATGGCTTCACACATGCACTGTGAAGAAAGGTCAAAGCCCACAGCTTCAAACATGACCCTGTCATGATTTTCCCATCAAATAATAACAACAGTTTTGCAGCAGTGTGTTATTTCTATGAGGTGAGAAAGTAGTAGGGGTGAAACGGTACGATCTTACCACGGTACGGTACGTATTGCGGTACAAGACCTTTGGTTCGGTTCAGTTCGGTTCGGTATATGAGAAATGATCATAATGCAGAAAATTGACATATGGCAAAGAATTGATAGATTTTGACAAAACGATTCGAGTTTTAGACAGTTTTTACCGGGTATACCGAACCGTAGGCAAAATACCACAGTTCTACTAATACAGCGGTAATACAGCGGTATACCGAACCATAGGCAAAATACCACAGTTCTACTAATACAGCGGTAATACAGCGGTATTCCGAACCATAGGCAAAATACCACAGTTCTACTAATACAGCGGTAATACAGCGATATACCGAACCATAGGCAAAATACCACAGTTCTACTAATACAGTGGTAATACAGCGGTATTCGAACCATAGGCAAAATACCACAGTTCTACTAATACAGCGGTAATACAGCGGTATACCGAACCATAGGCAAAATACCACAGTGCTACTAATACAGCGGTAATACAGCGGTATACCGAACCATAGGCAAAATACCACAGTGCTACTAATACAGCAGTAATACAGCGGTATAGCGAACCATAGGCAAAATACCACAGTTCTACTAATACAGCGGTAATACAGCGGTATACCGAACCGTAGGCAAAATACCACAGTTCTACTAATACAGCGGTAATACAGCGGTATACCGTTTCACCCCTAGAAAGTAGTTGCTGAAGCTTACCTTAACAAAGTCCTGTGTGGTGAAGTTGTTTGCCTTGTCGCTGAGGTAGAGGGGGTGAAACCATTCAAACATGGAGTGGTACAGACCAAAGTGCAGCTTGGTCTTGTTTCGGATGGCTGTTGCAAGTTCACCTGGATACACAAATATCAGTCTTACAATGTTCTAAATGACACAAATTTACACAGTCCATAACAGGGAGTAACACTGCATCAAATCTTCAGAAAACGTGGTCCACTGACTACGTACATTACTATATCAGTACTCAGTGACTGAAATGGTAGAAGGTCCCTCGTGAGCTTGAGGTTATTTTATTTTAATACAGACCGCTCAATATCTCCTCATCTCCAATACACTGCCAACAAGCTATGTGAATGGACCGATATTTCAGACTTCAAATGTATGATGATAATAATTGGATATGAAATAGGTAAGAATTTTCTCCTAGTTTATTCCACATATTTTACAAGTTCAGCCACACTGATCACTATGTCAACAATGAATAAGCTGCAAGGTTACCTTTCTGGAAATCAAATAACAGTTCCCAAAATATCTGATGCATTGTTCACCATGAAAACATCCCATTCAACAACATAATTTGACAATGTTTGACTATATTTGTTTGTGAAATTCAATCCATTTCCCACTTGACATGTCTTCAACAGTGACTGTTTCTTTCTAATAATGTAGTGAATTTGATTACTGACTGTTTGGTTGGCCATGTACACAGACCATGTTTGATGGCATATACACTACTGCTAACAAAGCAACCACACAAAACCTCAAGTTTGTTGCATGTTGATGTTCAGTCTAAATACATACCAACAATATCTCTCTTGGGGCCAACATCCATAGAGTTCCAGTTAAATGATGCCTTTGAAGGCCAGTTACAGAAGCCTTCATGATGCTTGCTTGTAAATACTATGTACCTGAAATGGAACAGTGATTGTGCGTCATGCTCACAATTCATTTTAGTACAACAGTACTCAGTCAAAGTGCATGTTATCATAGATGAAAATGCTTATCATGAACAAAACACAAATATACTAGAAATGGTGTGGTACAAAAAACTGGTTTGGTATTGAGATCACACAGACCATGAGAGTAGAGAGACCTTTAGCTTCCAATTTTACTTTATGCGGTTAACTTACTTTTTCTCAAAAAATATTTCCAAGGCATTATTTACTGAGTAAGCCATATTACAGATGTATTCTAACACTGCATTCAACAGATTCAATAATTAAATATTAAGTCCTCAACTCTTGTTCTCTGTTATATAATCTGCTGTTTTAGACGTGGGGGTCAGTACACGTCAAATCAACCTATCATCAGATTCTATGGCAACAAGGAAATTTGAAACCCACTACTTTCATATCCATTGTGATATATCGTAACCTGGTAGTTTTGTATCCTTGATGTTACCTGGATCATCTAATTTCCCTTAATCCCTTCATCACAAAACAATAAATGGACTGGACTCCATTTTGTACAAAAAGCTATTTTCAGCAGCGTTCAAGGACAGGAATTTCAATTAGCCCATGGCACTGGTTGATCTAGTTCTTTACAGTTCTAGTTCTTTCAAGAATATATAAAGTGGTTCACATAAAGGCGACATTAGACACTAGTTATCATGCCTGTCAAATGTATATCTCTCAGTAACATATTTCAAGACTGAACAGGGATTCAATTTTAAAATATTCATGCATCAGTTTCATGTATCTGCCATATCGGTTTTAAAACAATAAAATAAGAAAAACATTTCTGACATGTGTTTTGATAAACTCAGCAAAGAGAAACATATCTATCAGGACGTATTGGAGTGCATGTATATAATCATCCCTAATTCACTACACTAGAGTCACGTTCTGTTGTGTCAAAATTGAATGGACCTTGAGGCTGAGTTATCCAAAGTCTGACGGAACCAACAAATCCATAAATAAAGGAAGAATACAAAGGGACCAAGCTTTTAATTTAAAACAAACATAAGTTTGATGCATCAAATTTTGACACACAGGTGCTTTGATAACAAAGGTTTTAATTAACCCTACGTTTAGACAGAGCTTCTCACAAATTATCATGTCTGTTGTGGTCAGTTAACTTAGACAAGTTCAGCAAACAGTTATGACACAACAGAAGCAACAATCACGGTGATTACACCATGATGGTACACCATGTACACCCAGCAAATTTATGCTGAAATGTTCTTGTCAAACATTTGAAGTTAAAGGACCACTGATCCAGAGCAATTTCCGTGGACTGGTTGTTGCTTTTGTTTTGTTATTCTCCAGTGAGTACCCGGATGATATCCCAGAATTCATGACTGGTTTGTTACCTCTGCTGCGCCACCCTCATGCGTAATTGATAGTATAAGTATAGACGGATCAACAAAGATGAAATATTTTTACTCGATGATCTTATGTTGATTTTGTTGTAAAATTATGTAGACTTTGATGAATAATTTGGTTTCTTATAAAAAAAATATTCACTTTGATAAAAATGCTGATTTTGATGGAATGTTGACTTTATAAAAATATTAACGTTGTTTTTACAAAGAGACATTACGACAGGATGTATTCAGTATAGATTAGTAAATCTACATACATAAACACTACCTTTTGACAAATCCACTGTGCAGGATAAAAGCAATTAATCAATCAGCGTGTTATCGGTTAATCCTTTGATCGATGTTTGTTTTGTAACTCAGCTGATAATTCCTCTTACTGCACTTCCATGCGCATATTACCGTACATAAGATGCAATACATTTGCCACATCAGATAAGTACATGTGTATATACTCCAGACACAAGAAATGCCAAATGGGAACCTTTGTCGGGTAATCTGAGTGGTGTTATCACTAATTATACCTGTTATAAATTCATTAACTGACAATCAAGTGAATGATGACAACATGTGTAGGTTTACCACCAAACAAGGGTTACAGCAAGAGAATAGTAATCGCTGTATTGCATGCAAGTTTGATTGCCTGGAAAAAAACCTTATGGTCCGACACTGTTTTGAGGATACAAACGGATCTCCATTGTTACATAAGAAATATATATATAAGCATTTGCTGTGTACTTAGTCAAAAACTGTATATACCTATGTACCTAAGTAAAACTTCAGATTTTTTTGCAATGGCAAAGTGGGGTTGTTTAGTTTATGGATTCAAATATATCAAATGTGTGTTTTTGATATCATAGACATAATATTTTTACATGATAAAATATCGAGGTAAAAAACACAGAAATAGGATCAAATTGGATCAATCACTATACCATCCAAACATTTGAAAATCTGAAAAAGCCTATACTGCTGGGATACTTTATTACAATCAGACAACAACTACCGGGGATATTTTAAAAAAACGTCATCTGATGGGCATCCACATTTCCTAATGTCCCACTGACTAGGTGGAAGAAATTCTGCCAAGGTGGACAGTAGCCCAGTCTCCGTGTCCGTCACGGTCGAGGGAGCAGGGACTGACCAGTTTGCAGCTAGGTTTCATAATTAGACTGTTGGCTGGAAACATTAATCGCTCTGGATCAGAGGCCCTAAGTTTGTGATGAGGGGCCTGTGTCCATGGAACTACTATCACCATGATTACTCTGTACCATATATTATCATGATTATAGAGGCAGTGAGCTAGCCTAATGGTTAAAGCACCTGCTCATCACACTTAAAACCTGGGCTCTATTCCCCACATGGGTAGAATGTGTTTAGCCCATTTCTGGTGTCCCCCGCCGTGAAAATTGCTGGAATATTGCTAAAAGTGGCCTAAAACCACTGGGGCTTGTATTGTTGAAAATATTGCTGAAAATAATACGTCCTGGGTCCTACTTTCGTTCACTGATATCCATATAGAGTATAGTACAGAGTATAGGACCCAAAGTAGGACTACTTAAGTTCACTGATATTTATATACTCTATATGGATATCAGTGAACGAAAGTAGGACCCAGGACGTATTATTTTCAGCAATATTTTCAACAATACAATACAGTAGGCCCCAGGACGTATTATTTTCAGCAATACAAGCCCCTGTGCATAAAACCATACTCACTCACTCCTACATATTATAAAAGTATTTGGAAGATGAGTTTGAATGGCCCAAAAAGGCAAGGCTACTAGCAATATCTTCGTGGTGCCTTTTAAAGCATGTGTTGATACCTGCATTTATTTGTAAGATCATTATTATTTACAGTGCAATACCACCAGAGATCAGCAACAAAAGGATCTGCAAATAACAAAACTACCAGGATACAAAAACTCCAAACACATGAAACCACACGGAACTGACATGATCTTACTAAAATCAATTTAAGGATTCTTTCAGATTACAATAGTTAATCTGTCGTGGCATGACAGACTATAGTCCAGCATATAACGACTTTGAACTATCCCAATGCCAGGTGTGCTCGTCCTTGGCTGGAATACGAGTTTATTCATAAGAACTAGACAGACTATAATGATGATCCTTTATCACTCAAGGTTTGTAAAATAAAAACTTTAAATGATATTAAACCCCTGACAACGGGATACATGGGCTAGATATAGGCTATAATTATTTGTTAGTAGTATCCCCAGTGGGATATTATCAGTGTTTCTCGCTTACTGTGCGCCTGATGCTGCAAATGTGTCAGCCCAGTCGTCGGCGTTGAAGAATTCCGCTGTGAACATAGCAGCGAAATCTGCATACGTGAAACCGGGCCGGTAGTTCTCCTGCATGAAGAACCTCACACCCGGGGTACTCTGACCACCCTTCCAATTCCACCAGAACCATTCCGACGAGAAACTGGGCACGGAGAAAACACCCCAGTGAATAAAGATTCCCAGTTTAGCCTCATCATACCACGCTGGCAGGGGCCTGGAATCTATCGAAGCCCAGTTTGGCTGATATTGTGCATTTACACACACACATAGCAGGAACAGAGTTACCAAACAACTTCTGGCGTCCGCCATTTTGAAGCATGTGACTGTAGTCATGTGACTTTGTACACAAAGGGTATGTAACTCCCTAGATATGACTTCTTGCTTACCGCTAATATAGAATTGCCGTAAAACTAACTATTACACCAGAAACGAAATATTTGAAAACCGTCTGTTCAAGGCTACAGATACACTGTCATCGGTGTAAAACAGATTTATGGCATGTGAGCAATATAGAAAAGATCTACATATTTTACAAACCAATCAAATCAGAGATCCGTTATGGTACTGCTGAATAATTTGAAACATATTAAAACTATGTTCAATGCTAAAACTCGGATTAATTCATATATTCACTCATTCACTCATCAAACATTCATACATTACACACATAACATGTAATCCAGCATCTCACGAGTTTCACATTCTTACACTTACATACTTCGCATTATAATTAGCTTTACATTACTTGAAGATTTAGTTTAGTAATGATATATTGTGACACGAACGTGACGCTTACCCCATTATTAAATTATTTACCTCACGTAAATATTGATACTTATGATGCATTGTACAATGCATTAACATACAGTGTTTAAGTGACACTATGTACTAACTACATCGATAGAACCTGACCTGTGTATCGCATTAACACGTCTGTATCTTTATTGTATGTATTTATTTGTATGTTTCAATTAGAGACCGAATTGCAGTTAATTGAGTTATAATTTAATCTGAACGATGCAATACCTATTTTAAAATCTCACTTGTCTGTACTGAATTACGTATTGTTTCTGGGTGTGTACGTAGACTAAGGTATTAACATTCTCATCCAGTAGCCGGTGTGTCCCTGGACTCGTATATCTCCACCTATACTATCTCGGTTACAATAACAGCCAATACGTGTAAACAAAGTGGACTTCAGCAGATGATGACCCACAACCCTCAGGTTCTCACAGCTGTATCACCTCGCTATACAGCTGTATCACCTCTCTCTATACAGCCATGATGTATCTGTATGTTTCATAACACCTGAATTGTGAGAGGTACATATTTGAAGTTGAACCGTGTACAGGGGGATCCTGTCTGTGTTAAAGTAGAGGGCTTGCTATGGTAAATGTGCAACAACTATTGTAAGTGTGTTTTAAAGTATAGGGGTTGCTATAGTATTTGTGCAACAGCTATTGTAATTAAGAGTGTGTTAAAGCATAGAGGTTGCTATGGTATTTGTGCAACAACTACTGTAAGTGTTTTAAAGTATAGGGGTTGCTATGGTGTTTGTGCAACAACTATTGTAAGTGCATGTTAAAGTATAGAGGTTGTTTTGATACTTGTGCAACAACTACTGTAAGTGTGTGTTAAAGTATAGGGGTTGCTATGGTATTTGTGCAACAACTATTGTTAATGTGTGTTTATTAAAGTATAGGGTTGCTATGGTATTTGTGCAACAAATATTGTAAATGTGAGTTTAAAATAAAGGGGTTTGTTATGGTATTTGTGCAACAGCTATTGTAATTAAGAGTGTGTTAAAACATAGGGTTTTCTATGGTATTTGTGCAACAACTATTGTAAGTGCGTACCAAAGCGTAAGAACTACAGTACCTAACTATTGCAGATTTTTGTTAAGAAATTGGTCTGCACTAGCCTAGCCAAAACGTCTGTAAGTTCATGTGTCGGAGTTGCATAAGGCTTGAAGCTGGCAAGTCACCCCAGTCGATGTAGCAACTGACAAACCTTAGGACCTTCATGAACCCTGACCCTTGTAACAATCTGCTGTCTAGTAATACTAACGCGGGCGATATCGAGTCCTACAATCGGTTGTGACTTCAGATATATTGAAGATAATACTTATAACAACCGAGGACAAGTTGGTTGAACGTCGCCATGATGGGTATTTCAGTTATCTCATGCCCCAAGTGACCCAGACCATTTGTAGACTTCATATATACTTGTGGGAAAGAATAAGGGATCGCATGAAAGTACAATTGTTCCATTACTTATTTCCAGAATTTCACCCACAGGGCAAGACATACCTTGTGAAGAAACCTGGAAAAGAATAAAGGAACACTTGTACTTTCATATGTTCCCTTCTTCGTTTCCATGAGTATATTATTGTAACAAAGCTGACGAAGATCTCATGACAAACACAGGCTCATAGTCAGGGCGTTTCTTGGAAACCATTGGATCCTGGCACGTCTCGGAGACAAAACTCTTCACAACTAACATTGGTAATCGAGTGGGAAACTTTTAGTGGTTGAGATAACAATCGTGTCACGATGAAGTTCCAAATGACTTAGACTGTCACAGTTTGTGTTTGGTAATGCTGGAAACAGACGTTGTACTCGGTGTCACAGTGTCACAGTGTCCGAGGATGCGCTATTTACGACTCATTGTCATCCATCCGCTTCCTCAACACGAGATGCTTGAATCATGGAGTTGTGTGACAGAATACACAAACTATCAGCTGATTCAATGATGTAGCACTTGACCCGGAAGTGTATTAGACCTGGCGGGGTCAGTCTGCATTGTGAGCCCTCGGGGTCTGACGTTAGGAAACCATCTCTATATGTAACAATACATTTGCAAATGTTATTGAAAGATATCGTATGTGTAAGGTCAGATCATGTGCTCGCAATGATACCTATGTGTGTAAAGATCTGAACAAACGACATTCTGCTTCGAGGTTTCTGAATTATCTATACGAACAAGTGAAGCTTTCAAAACAGCACATCCGTTTTCTGAATCTAGAAAAAAATATACACCTGTGCATTAATTAAGCACCACCCTATTTTGAAAATAATATGTGATGCTACAGAAAAGTTAGGGTATAGCCATCAATTTAATCAACCTGCACTTAAAGAAGCTTTATCCACTGACAGTTTTACAAATACCATAACCTTTTCTATTCTTTATGAAAGAATATGTTGATGAAAATGTGATGGGACTGAATTTTACCCAAAATAACTATTCCCCTCCTGCTCAAACTACACAATTAAATTAAGTTTTGACTAAAAATAACAATTCTGTTATATACCAAGACGACATTTACACATCAAGTAAGCTTTAATTATGCATAATCAGGAAGAACTCGAATGTCAAAGATTCAGACCTTTTTCCAACAATTCAGGTGGCTATTTATGCGCTTTGAGCTTTGATAAAATGCAGCAGAGAGGGTTCGGGTGATCCTGGCACAGTCAGGCTGGTAAGGCTCATCATCAGCTCAGGGCCCAAGCCCCCGCTACACACAGCCCAGACAGCGAATGGAACTTCTCCCAGGAAACACTGCCTAGTCAAACCCACCAAGAACTTTCCGGAGAATATGAAAGCTCCCCAACACTGCAGCCTTCTGCATTACCCAGAGTGTCAGAACCCGGGCACTCTCCTGATCTGCGCCAAGAGATCAAGAGGTACCAAACCAAGGGCACCGAGAACAATGGGGAGCCTGACGACAGTGTACATGGGATGCAAGCGAGACATTTCAAAGGCGAGGTCCGCATATTTATCATGCTTTGGGTGAATCTTGTCAATCACTTGCTGTCAAAAGGGACAGAAAATTCAATGATATAAATAAATTCATTGGCTTTATCAAAAAGGACAAGATCAGGTTTGTTGGCTGGAATTCTTCTGAGGCTGTATATGGGCCTGTTCCACAGAAGTTTGAAAGCATCATTTTCCATGACGCCCTGGACATGTTCAGGGTCGTACCATGGATGGACCTCGGAGTCAAAGCCACAGGCATGGCGGAGACGGTAGTAAAAGCAACGAGCCATGCCATCATGTCGTTTAAGATATGCTGTTTGTGCCAAAGAAGGGCATCCACTTACAAGGTGTTGGACAGTCTCTGTGAATTCATTACAGAGTCGACATTTCATACTGATATTTTCTTTAAGAATCACATTTTGGCGATTACGAGTGGGAAGTGACTGTTCCTGAGCAGCACCCCCAGTTTCACATTTAAGACCAGCCGACTTTATCCAGGCTAAGGAGTCGGTTGGATTGCTATTCTGTTACACACACTGCATGTACACACGATGCAATGGCTTCTCAGAAAGCTTCTTCACAAAAGACCTACTCTGGGCAGACTTCACCTGGTTTACTCCCATCGCTGTACCGTCCAGCAGTACAACGCCATCAACAAAATCAACCTGAAATTTTAGATTGTGTCCAATAACTTTGGCACACTTAAAAAAGCTTTGGAATTCCTTGCTTTCATCATGAGTCTTGACATGCATCACCAGAGGATCATCCGACAAATAAATATGTGCAAAAGTACACCATAAGATTCTATCATGAAGAGCCTCCACATTAATCAAACCCCATATACAAACGATTAAGAGAGGAACGAGGGTGGTGGGCTCTGTTATCAGACATGATCCTTCTGGTCAGGCGGTCAAGACTCTGGATGTCTTATTTTGTCCAATCAACTACTCCAAAGGAATAGGAGAGGACTGGCACATCAAAGGTATTGGTGGCTTTGATCTTGTTTCGAGCATTTCGCTCTGAGCTCCAGAGTTTCTTTAAGCGAGATTTATACTCGGCCCGAAGTTTCTCTTGAATCTGGGCATTCTGGAGCTTGTCTCCAAGATAGGTGTAGGCCTGATTTTCCACAAGATGCTCAATAACTCCTCCCCCTTGTAACTTGACCGATCCATCATTAACTACCTTCCCACGTTTCAGATGAAGAGTGATACATTTGTCAAGCCCAAATGTCATGCCAATATCATTAGAAAAGGGCTCGACAAGGAGAACCTGTTCTTTCAAATTGGTATCTCCTTTGGCAAGGAGCTCAATATCATCCATATAAAGGAGATGAGTAAGCGGTGTTGGGGATCTGTGCTGAGGAGGTCTGGGATGGTAACCCTCCTCTCTATTGAGCAGAAAGCTCAAAGGATTTAGAGACAAACAAAAAAGCAAAGGGCTGAAGGAGTCCCCCTGGAAAATTCCCCTTCTGATTGGAATAGATTCCGAAGTCTGGACCTGCCCTTGCGAGTACATCTCAAGTTGAGTCGACCAGCAACTCATTAAAGACTTGAGTAAATCAAGTAGTCGCTC